AATTAAATAATTACGCAACGTTCGCGTTTATTGAGTCGCTGATAAGGAGAGGACGCGCAGCAACTCGTGTATCGATCATCGCGAGGGCGGCCTATCTCTCCTGCGAGTTTTGACGACCGACGTGTCTCCGACGGGTAATGCGACGCATTTGAGAATTTCACAATGAAGCTGCGAGGACCACGAGAAATCCTTGTGATACCCCGTGATGTCTACCGTCGATACAGTCGACGTAAGTCTTGAAAGCTACTTGCCGTGCCGTGCGACTTAACTCGAGATCGATGGCATATGGTGTTCTCAGGTCGGACAGCGAAGCGTTTTGTCTATCGCTGAACCGATCCGGATGATAGTAAAGAGAGAAAATACGCGCAAAGAAAATATTTCTCAGAAATTTAACCTTTTGCGCGATTTTTTTCTCATGTCTACGGAAGACATGCTCGATTCCTTTCTTCTTCACATTTATAGAGGAAAATTAAAAGAGATTAATACGCCATGTTAACGTTTAAATATTAAGGTACATTTCTACCACTGAGTAATTATCTTATTTTCAGCTTAATTTTATTACATTTTATCTTTCTTATTTCTAAGAAGTAGAAAAAGATAAAGAGTTGGTTAAATTTTGAGGAGATTAAAGTTAATTTGCGTTGCTAAAATATGAATATATAAATGATTAATAAGTATATATATATATATATATAATAAAGTGTGTGTGTGTGTGTGTGTGTGTGTGTGTGTGTGTGTGTTTTTGTATATATGTATATAGATCGGACATGTCGAATACATACTTGATAAATTCATAGTATTATACGATCGAGCGGGATTTTAGATGTTTTTTATTTCTAATTATCTTTGAATATATAAATAATTAAATTCACTTTATAGCGCGAACAACTTTTTTTCTTAATCCCACTGCACTGCTTCGCGAAGAAACGCGTGAATAATTAATAGAAAAAGAAAAAAAGAGGAAAAGACAAGATGTTGCCTCGAAGCGTTTCGTCATTGGACAGCTAACAAATAATTAGGTAACCTCGTCTGGCCAACTGTGTAAACTGCGCCTCCTCCTCGGCAACGCGTCCCCGCTCTTTTTACACCTTATCAGGTCGCGTAAAGACGACGAAGCGAATAAAGGGACAGGAAGAGAGGACGATGGAGAGGAAGAGAGGAGAAGATTCGAGAGAGAAGTAGAGATGAAGAAAGGTGGAGAAGAGTCGTCGACCCGGACGCCTCTTCTTCTCTTCTTTGCGCTCCGTTGTCCCCGCCGCACGATCCCCCTTTCGAGAGAGCGTGAAAAAAATAATAAGATCGTGGCTGTCGGAGGTCGATTCTCCTCGTCTACTGCTCCGTTCCTCCCGCGACGCGCACGGGGAACACGACAAAAACGTCAACCGGCAAGAAAACGGAACTCGGTGTCTCCGCGTCGTCGGCAGCGTCGCTGGGACGATGCGGCGTTTGTGCGCTCAGAAACCATAACTGGTATCATTATACGATATGCATCAAATGATGCAGCCGGAGCAAAATCTCTAAGTCATCCGTACAAAAAATTAATTGCACATAAGAAAAATCATGTAGCATCTGCGATCCAGTTATAGTTTGAGGTCGGTCGTAAAGTATCCTTCTCACATTGCAAATCGATTTTTCCTATTTTTCAATTTGTAAGAATGAAACTTGCAAAAATGAAGATAATAATAATATTTAATCAATTAGTACG